TTGACTTGACTTTCTCTGGCATAGCTCCTCAATATCATTGTAATTTAGAATATTCCAAAACGCTGAAAACATTTTTTCATGAATCAATTCAGAGCTGGCTCCAGGTGTTTGTTCCTTCTTATGTTCACCTTTTACTTCTTCACAATATTTTTGCCTACTTTAGTATTTATTACGTACAGCACATGCTACCCTTACTCTGCTATCTGTTTAAGCTTTGTCCTTTGCTCTTTTTTTTAGCCCTACCTATTAGGGCCTTCAGCTTAATCATCCATGTCTGCTGCTACTAGATTGTCTCCCTAAGAACTCTGTAAGCCACAAAGTGAAACGGATTCGGATTTTATAGCCCTGGTGATTTTCCTTCTGGTGTACCACCAAGAAAATGCTATAGCACATGAGCTGATGAATCATTTTATAGGGCTTTTGCTTTCTTTTTTGTACTTGAAAAATTAGGTATGATCGTGAACATGGAAATGTCTCCTGTTACCATGAAGATAATATAACCATAAAATAAAATCATCAGTGTTAGCTTTTGTCTCTGGATAAATGTAATATGTATATTGTGATTTGGGGCAAATTGAGTTCCCCAGAGAACATTCATTCATGTAAAATTTCACTTCTACAAATTTCCATTGCTTGTACTGGAAGCTGACTAAAATTATTTGGCACCTGCTGCTGTGTGTCTGGCGTTGTCCTGGGGGCTTACACCTGTTAAGCCATTAAATCACCGCAGCAGGCTTGTATGGTAGGTCTGGATTCTCTCATTTTACTGAAGAGAGATTGAAGCTGAGTATGTTGAAATTACTTTTCTTATGCCACCCAGCTAGTAAAGCTCAAAGCTGAAATTTGACTCCTATTTATTTGGCTCTCCTTACAACAGGCTCCCTAATCGGAGATGGACATAGGAATGTATTAAGGCTTCATTCTGGATTTAGATATTGATTTGGATGAAAAATGAAGCTAACTGCCATTGGTTGAGATGGTATGCTGTTGGAAAATAATTGACCTTAGTGCTGAGTATAACCTGGCAATGTCCCAGGCTTCTGTCACATAGTGCTGCCAGATGAAGGGTTGCCTTGATCATTAATAATGTCATTTCTGCATAGTGCAGTTCCATTATATAAGAGAATGAATCATGGAAAAACAAATTCATATGGGGTCATAATATATATTTTCCCCAGCTTGTTTGAGGCACCATTGACATGGTTATTTTGTCTCCCAATTCTTGGCATTGGATTCAGGGCCATGATTCCCTAAGCTGGGCTCTTGGCTGCGGTCCAGTATCTGCCATTTGTTCCTGCCTTCTCCTTGCCATTCGGTACCTTCTCACTGATACTTACTCACGTTTTACTACTATAGTAACTTCTTAATTCGATCTCTTTCTTCTTTAGTATATCCTAAGTATTGCCAATTTTGGTAATTTTTTCAAAATACTAATTTTGCCTTAAAATATCATTATGTTTCCTACTCCATGATTCGATTTATATAAAATTTTTGAAATCATAAAATTGTAGAGTTGGAAAAGTGATTAGTGGCTGCCTAAGGTCAGGGATGTTGTGGTAAAGGGGGGACCTAAAGAGTATAGCAGGAGAGAAATCTTGATCCAATCGTTCTGTGTCTTGATTTGCAGTAGTGAGTACGTGATCCAAATGTGATAAAATGACATAGAAGTATACCCAAACTTTACACTTATGTCGATTTCCTACTTTTGATATTATACCGTAGGTACATAAGATGTAATCAGTTGGGGAAAATGGGTGGAGGATACATGAGACCTCGCTTTCCGTACTATTTGTGCAACTTCACGTGAACCTGTAATTATTTTAAAATAAAAATTTTAAAAAAGTATTATATTGCTTTAAAGTGTTCGAGTTCCTTTGGCTATCATATTCCTTAAGTTTCGTAATCTTCGTTTCCCTCCAAATTAATCATTCAAAGTTATTTTTCCTAGTTTTTTTCCCCACTTAAATCTTATGTGGCATTAACACAGTGTTGGCTTTTACCAGATTACCAAGAAGTGCTTCTTGAATTAATTGAACAATTAAATGAGCTTTATGAAAACACAGTATGTCGACACCCATCTTCCTTTCCTTCTCCCCTCTTTCTTGTCCACACTTAATCTCTCCCCAAGAACTGAGCAGCATGCCAGAAACTTGGTGGGATCCTGGAGACTTGGTCTTCCTGAGAGGGTTGCATTACCTGTGCTCACAGTCACAGAGCCCAAAGTCCAGTCACAAATTCTAAAAGGAAGTGTCTTTTGAGGACTTAAGACTTAGTGTCACAGGGTAGGATGAGCCAGGAAACCCAGGATGTGAACTGTGGTGATTATCGTCCATTCAAATTTATTGACTAGCTTTGTAGCCCAGTAGGTGATCTCTCTTTGTAAACATTCCATCTATCTGTACCTAAAAAGAAAAGGATATTCTGTGGTGGTTTTCTGTGATATCTATTTCAGATCTTCTGTGTCTTTAATGATTTTGTGTGTGCAGAGTAGGGCAGGGGCTGGATCTGTAAATTACTCAAACTTTGTTGTGAACTTATCTATTTCTCCCTTAAATTCTGTCAGGCTTTGCCTCATGTGTTTTAAAGATCTGTTAGGTGCATACACATTTATGATTTTGTTCCTTCTTCCTAATGAACTGACCCTTTTATCATCATGATATCTTTGTCTCGAAGCCTAACAATAGTAATTTAAGTACTTCAGCCTTCTTATGTTTACCGTTTGCATGGTATATCTTTTTAGTTCTTTATTTTCAATCTGTGTATGCCTTTACTTTTAATGTGGATTTCTTAAAGACAGCATAGATTTGCAACTTGCTTTTTTATTCACTCTGGTTATCTTTGCCTTTTTTCAGTATATTTAGTCCATTTATATACAATGCCATTTTTGCTGTGGTTGGATTTAGGCACCATTTACTATTTGCTTTTCTATTTTTCCCTTCTGTTTTTTGTTCCTCTGTCCCTGCTTTCTTTTGGATTAAATGTTCCAAAATGATTTTAGAATTACATGTCAATTTATCTGTTTTAACATTTTTTTTGCGTGTTTGCTCTAGGGATTACAATAATTTAAGTTTTCTTAGAGTTATTATTTAGGGTCAATATTATACCATTTCACATAAGATGAAAGTACCTTGAATCTATATATGACAATTCAGTCCCTCTCTGATGTTATGCTATTAATTGTCATGTGTATTTTAGTTACATATATTATAAATCCCACAATGAAGGGCTAGAACTTATATTTTAAACAGTCACATGTATTTTAAAACCATGAAGAGAAAAATAGTCATAATTTTATATTTATGATTTCTGGTGTTTTTCATTTCTTCTGGATATTTGACTTTCTGATAGTCAGCCTAGAGAATTTTGTTTGGCATTTCTTGTATCTTAGGTCTGCTGGGACAGATTTTCACAATTTTCTCTTATCTGAAAGCTTCTTTAATTATTGCCTTCATTTTTGACTGATGTATGTTCTGGATATAGAATTATGGGTTCACAGTTGTCGTCCCCACACCTCTAAACTCTAATGTTCTATGGTCCTCTGTCCTCTAGAGTTTCTTATGAAAACTCAACATTCATTCTTATTGTAATGCATCATTTTTTCTTAACTTGCAAAAATTTTTTCCTTATATTTGATTTTCAGCAGTTTGACTGTGGTGTAGGTGGCAGGTATAGTTCTTTGTGCATTCATCCTGTTTGGGTTTTCTGAGCTTCTTCAGTCTATACATCTACATCTTTCATCCAAATTGGGATATTTTCAACTGTTTTTTTTTTTTTCTTTCCCTGCATTATTCTCTCTCTCTTTACCTTCTAAAACTCTAATTACTCAAAACGTTTACTCTTTTGCTAATGATCTATTTTTATTTGTTCTTTTCTTCTTCAGGTTGAATTTTCCTTTACATCCTTAAGGATACTTTTATAATAACTTATTTTTATATCATTGTGGGCCAGTCCCAACACTTGGGTCAAATTTTCTCTTGAACATAGGTTAGATTTCCCTAGTTGTTCATATGTCAAGTAATTTAGAGTATAAATGATACTGTGCAAAGACTCTGTATTCTGTATGTTCCTTCAGAGAAGGAACTTTTTTGGGGGGAGGGTCTTAAGAGGCAGTTAATTTGGCAAACGTGAACTAAATTTTGACTTCTCTGTGGCAGGCGGCAGCTCCACTGATCCATTCAAAAAGTTAATATTGAATATGTACTGTGTGTCATGTACTGAAATAGGTGACTATGCTAAAAAATATAAGTAGATATGGACCCTAACCTAAAAAACCTGCAGTCTGGTTGACAGCCATAGAAAAGTGAAGAAATAAGTATGATAATTTCCCATATGTCATATGCGATAAGAACTAAGAGGCAGTGGGGTTACTGAGAAAGGAGTTGTGAAGCTGTTAAAATTCCATTTAAAAAATATTTTTGAAACAACTCAATTTTTCTGAGAACAGGAGGTAATTTATTTATTATTATAGTGATGAAGAAAGATTGGCTGATGAATGACTATTATACTGTCATCATTTTGTTAATTCTTTGAAGAAAAGGACATGTTTCAAAAGCACAGTATATTTTAAGGAAGCAACATTAAATGTTTAAATTCTTGACTGCCATACTAAACAGAAGGAATACTTTATTTTGGTAAGAAAAGATGATTTGATTAAATCTGAACACTTGACACAAATGATCATAAATTAGATAATATTAGACATTGCTGAAATAAAAAAGATCTATCTGTACTAAAGAAAGTCTCACTATTGGGAGAAAGAAATTTCAAAAACGTTTATACAAATGTATCTTAAATATCTGTAAGTTTCCTATGTCATGTATCTTAAGAATCTGTCAGTTTCTGATGTCAAAGAGGTTTTCCAATCCGTTTTGTATGTTATCTTACATACTTACATCTGTATAAATGAATGGGTAACATGAGGCTAGTTTTGTTTTGTAAAACCATATCTGCTATAGCAGTAACTTGAACCTTTTCCTTTTTTTTTTTTTCTGTTTTAACAGTGTATCCTATTCAGTCCATGTATCTGAAGATTACCCAGGTATGCTTTTCTTCTTTTCATTTTTATTACAAATAGTCATGTCATGATTCCTTTGAATATTTTCTTCATCTGGAGATGTAAAATGTATATGACTATATCTAGGGGTAAAGCATTGATAGGGGAAGACTTAAAGATATAGAAGAATTCTGCTGATTGCCTGTGAGGTACATGTCTCACTCTGAGGTGCAGTCTACAATCAAAATAGTTTCCCAATGAAAAGTAGTTTACTTGAGCCCAGTTCATATGATAGCTCCAGCCTAAATATTTACATCATTACAATTAAAGATCTCTAACCTGGTTGAGCTATTGGTTTTAGAACATTATTTAGCTTTTCATAATGTAAAAATAGTAAGTAAAAATAACAACTATAATAATAGCTAAAAATAACACAGCTAAATATAAATAGGTCTTTTTTTTTCATTTCTCTAAGTATAAACAATTCTCACAACAATCCTATGAGATTGTTACTATGATATCTCCATTTTACGGCGGAATGATGACAATGCTAGTAAGAGAAGGAGCTGGGATTTGAACTCAATAATCCAGAGCCTGTGGACTGTACAACTGGACTATACTAGGCTTTGTGCATATTCACAGCTGTCCTCTCTCTGTGCCCTGAAATATATTACCAGGTCCACAAACACTTGGCCGTAGAGTACAGAATATAAGATCACTGCAGACTGGTTTTTCTGTAAATTAAACAAGTATTTTTCTTCTAGGTCATGGTCAGTCATATTCTCTAGACTCACTGTAATCACATCAGAGCCCAAGATGTATAAGCTGACATTTAAGTCATGATAATTTGAAGACATCAACAAGATGTTTCGCTTTAGTATTTTCCTCAGAAATGACAGCTGTAATTTTATCTTGATTAAGAGCACAAGCACTGTAGACTTAGTAGAGATCACATATGACTTGATTAGCGTACCACAGTGAGAGGGTATAAAGTGAGAATCTATTGTTTATTGTATTCTGTGGCAAAGAATAGCAAATTTTAACTGCCTGTATTTCACACACACACGTGCATTTTTCACTCCAGTGTTGCTTAATAAAATCAGATGGTTACCAGACTAACTGTTGTGACCTGTCAGGGTCATAAATTGAAATCATAATTCCAATTCCTATTCAAATTTAGCTATTTTATTTACATCCTCTGCATAATTGGGATCATGTTTTTCTGTATAAAATGACTAGATTGATATAAGTAACTTTGATTATATATATTTTGAGTATTTTAAAAAAAATTAATTCCTAATGTGGTATAGGATATTGTAAAACATTTCTTAACATTTAAGCTAAGCATTTCCTGGGGCATTCCATTTGCATTTTGAATTTTAATCTTTTTATAAGATCAAGTGTTACCTTTTAAAGCAATTTTCTAATCATAAACTGCCTTACCTTTATTTTGGTATGATTTCCATATGTTGTAAGCATAGTATTTTATAAAACCGTTGTACATTTTTACAAGAGGAGTCATTTATTAAAGTTATACTTATTTTTAAATAGAAGTGTAAAAAGTATTCTAGGCAGATTTTATTGGAAGAATCAAGACAAAATATATTTATAAAAAATATTTTTTGTAGATGATTTTACAAACAGCTCTCTCATTTATTATGCTAGAATATGTTTTCAATGCTGAATGTTTGCCAAGTACGTTAGGAAAATAAAAGCCCCACTATTGTAATTATTGTGCTTCTCAACTGAGGCAGCTCTAGAGATGTCAGCCAGGAGAAGTGCAGGACTTTTAAGTCAAGATGATAGAAATAATGCCACAAATCAAAGGTCGACTTAAAGACAGTGAATTATTCTGTAGCATAGGAAATAGGGTAAAAAATGCCTTTAATAAATCAAGTGAACCAAATGTTTAGCTCCCTCTTGTGGCGAAGAGGTGTTACTCTGACTTTTTCTTGCCATCCTAGGGTCCCACTTAGAAATACAATACAGAAGAATTAAAATTTAAAAATAAAGCATTGGTTATCATTTGTGCTTTTTAAAATTAAATCCCCTTCTTGGAGCGGTTCGTAGTGAATTTCCAATATAATTTTATTTCTTAAAAGAAAAGGAGTATAAATAAAGCACGAGGATGGGAGAGATACATATAGTCTGGGGTAGAATTTTGAATTGGTTGGCCCTGTATGTTAAGTATTTCCATATACATAATTGAATTGATTCTAAATGCCAGTCTGTGTAGAGACAGAACAGGGGCTGTCATGACATTTTATACTTGAAGAAATGTCCTAATAGAGGTCAAATAGTATTTCCCAAGGATATGTTTGGTGGTAAAACCCAAATTTATAATTCAGATCTAATTCCTGTCACTTCTGGAGAAGAATTGGTGGTAGTATTTCTATGGAGCTTTTTTTAAAGTGAATGTTGCTATGATATTATCTTCCCAATTATTAAATTTTAATCTATATTCATTTGTACCGAGTTCAGTTGATATGTTTGATTTCTCAGATAGATAATATTATATAAAAATTATGTTTGCTCTCCCATTTCAATATTCATACCTGTGTTTTTTCTACTTTTGCACTGGTTAGAACTTCCAGAATAATTTTTAAAAATAGTTGTAAAAGCTGGCAGCTTCGTTTCTTTTCTCAAAATTAGTGAGCATGCTTCCAGTTGCTTTCAGAAAAGAAAATATTATTCTCATTTACCAAACTGTTTTTTTTTTTTAAGTATAAGTATTAAATCTTTATCAAATTTTTGTTTGGCATCTATTGGGGTACCATATATATGCTTTCTCCTTTAAACAGCGGGGTGACAAGGTATTAGCAGATACCTTAATGTGGATCTAAAAGATTTATACACATCATATACTTTGTTATTAAAGTATTCAAATTACTGCAAGAATTAAACCATTCTTTGACATTTGCTAAAACTTGCGAGCAAATTTTTCTGAGCCTTATATCTTTTCAAGGATGGTTCCAGAGCAGTTGTCATATTTTTCTTCCATGATTATTGTCCTGTTCTATTTTATATTTCTTATTCATTTTTTAACATGTCTTTGTGAAAGCTCACTATGTTGGTGAAATGTCCAGTATTTTTTAGCAAATTTTTTTTATAGTATTCAATCTATAAATCTAAAAGTTTTCTGCATCTCTGTGGTTATTTCTCCTTTCCCATTTCTATTGCTTTATATTTGTTATTATCTTTTCTCCCCTTTGATTTATTTTTCCCAAAAAGTTGGCCTGTGTTAAAAATTCTTTCTCTTTTATGTTTTTAATTTCAAAATGCACTAACCTTGATAATACTTTTATTCATTCCTTTTACTAATTTTACTCGGGCATTTTTTTTCCCTACTTTTCCTGGATTATATGGTTCAATGATTAGCTCATCATCTAAGTTTGAAAATAGGGAATTTTCCTTGCCCTATGGAAATGTTATCAGCATAATCTTCCAAATTTAGCACTTTACCATATTTATTTTTTTAGAATCTGATTTGTCATTTTATAACTTTAATCTCTTAATTAACCTGTGCCATCTATTGAAACTCATCGTAGTGTGCGTGTGTGTGTGTGTGTGTGTGAAAATTTAGGGGGTCTTTATTGAGTTTGAGGTATACAAAATAACATGTATATAAATGAAATACTAAATAATATGCTTGCTCTTCAAAATAAAGTGAATAAATAGAGCAGCCTTCAGGTTTACTTGTACTTCTGTATGGAGTTTATACTGTAGACAGTTTGTTATTTTGTAAAGGTAGGTATATTATAAGTCATAGATAATTGGCTTTGCCATAACAGAACAGCAGAATTCTTTCTCATCACTTCCCACCTTTAATTAGGAGGCTTACTACTGATGAGTGTGAATTTTCTCATCACTTTTATGTGTTCTATAGCTACCGCAATTGTCAAGTGACAATATTTTGATATTAAAAAATATAGCAAAGCATTGATATTTTGGATTCAGAAAGTTTTACCACTTACTAGCTGTAATATGACTTAAATAATTTGAGCAAGTTACTTCATTTCTGTAAGCCTTGGTTTCCTCATCTTTAAAATAAGGAAAATAATTGATTGGCTTGGGGGTTAATCTGAATATTACATATAACATTCAGGGAAAATATGCATGTTATAAAACCAATATTATTATTTATATTTATAATTATTTCTCTTAAGTTACATAGTAATGAATAATGGAGTGACTTTGCTTAAATTACGTTGCATTCGAAATAGAATAAAAGCAGTATTTTAAGAGATGCTTTTCTGTAGCTCTCTACTCATCTCTCCTCGGTTGTTTACAAAAGTTCCAGTAATGCTGTATAGTCTGGTAGGGAAGGGAAGAGAAAATATTTATCCTGTTAACAGCCTTTAACAAAGATATATAGGTCCTCAGCAAAACTTACACTTTAAAGAACCTAACTGTTCTCAGAAGTTGTAAGAAAAACAGTTGGCAGCTCTAGAGTCAAGTGAGAGAATTACAGTGAAGGAATTTGAGTTTCAAAACATTCTGTTCTGTCACTGACTCATTTCGTTACCTTAAATGCATTCCTTACCCTTTTTATGTCCTACTTTTCCATGTCTAAACAAAGGTGATATTATTATTACAGATGTCAAAATAGTTTGTGGAAGATTTGAAATAATTATTTAAACAACAACAGAAGAAAGCATAGACTCCATTCACACAGCTGGGATGATCCTCAAAGACCCTCAGAAAACTTCTTCATTTTGCAACTAAACAGACTGTGGTGTGGGTGTTTAATGGGATCAGCAGCTGGCCGGTAGCAGGGTCTAGAGTTGAGGTGCTTTGTCAGCTCTCCTCCGTTATTGTTTTTGACTTGGGTGTAATCTGACCTTTTACATCGTAAAGGTGATTTAATAGATCGTCATAAAAACTAAAAACATTTTGATTTGGGTAAATTAAGCCAAAAACAGAAATTAAAAGAATTGTAATGCGTAAATACTAATCAAAATACAAACTGATAGAAAATCTCTTGGAAAATGATATGTTTAAATACGTCATCCTGTCTTTCTGCATTATGCAACATGTATTACCAAATTATATCTCTTGAATCAAATCTCGCTGCCTTCCAGGGTCGACACTTTCCATAAGCCATTTGATTCTTTAAATAGAGCTATTTATTCCCCCGTTTTCTTAAACAGAAAGTTCTCATTTGCTTGCCTTTTGTCGTTTCATAAAATTCTTCTCAATCCATGACACCAAGATATTGCATGTTCCTGTGTTTGCTTTATGAATATTTGCAGATATTCCTTTGGGTTGGTGGTCAGCTGTTACTTCTGTTGCTTAGTGTTCCCCTTTAATACTCCACAAATTTTTCTCCATAAGTTTGCTTCAAGGAATCCGTCGTGCATAGGGAAAACCTAATTAAGTTGATTCAGTAGCAAATAACTTTGAATCAGTAAGATTCTCACTGAGGGTTTAAGAAATTTAAAAACTGGTTTTAACAGAGGACTTTTTGATCCTTACCTGAAAGTGTAAGGTTACTGACAGAAGAGACCCCAGATAAGCGGTCTCAACTAACATGAGACAAAAGTTAAACAGATTTATATGAAATCTGTTTCTTAATCTGTGGTCTCACTTGATAAACACAAAAATCTCACACCCTCCTTGATGCTACTTGAAAACAAAATAAGGCAAACCTGGTAATTAAAACAAATCGAAGTAATGAGGCAACCCTGTTTTATTTCAAATCTAATCCATACTTGTCTCCTCTCACCTTCCTGAATGTCTCTGAAAACCTTATGTCTTTCGAGAATCTTGTGTGGCTACATATGCTGTGAATACATATCACTGTCATTTACTCACTACTCAAGGTCTAAAAACAGTATGGATGTTCCTTTAGAAATAAAGTAATGCTTTAGATTTCTATCAGTTAAAAATCATATTCTCACTGGACTGACACAATATTATGAAAACTCGGCTCAAGATTTTTTATTGTGTATTTAGTCACTCATCAACACTCATTTCCCTGAACAGAAATTGATAACAGGCTTCTATTACGTGTCGGGAATATTTTATACTTTTATTTTTATATTTGTATTTTTTATATTTTATACATCATTGATGAGTGTATTATTGGACCATTTAATGAATTGGTGAAGTATTTGTCAAATAGTTGTCTCACAGATGCCCTGTAATCATCAATGAGCAAAATAGAATAAACAGCTGTGTTATGTTATATTACCATACACTTGAAGATCAGTATTTATCGGGGAAGAATCCTAAATTTATAAAAATGTTTTTTTCCAGAGTAAACAGATGATGCATAAGCAACTTAAAGTGTTCTATGCATTCGGCTTGTGTAGATGACTTAGATAAAATTAATTCGTGGAAGAAGAATAATTGTGAGACTTTATATCAATTTAAATACATGTATTAGAGTTCTGTGGGAGATATGATTTACAACAAAGGCTGTAGCTCAGAGACTTGATGCTGGCTCTTTTTTGTGTCCCAGTGTTCTTGTTTAGCTTCCCCCTCCCCTAACTCATTCTGCTTCCTGTAGAAGATAGGGATGTTGGAAAGGATGCTGTTCAGTGAGGTGGGACAGCTAGTTGCATCCAGCCGATTCATTGCCACATGGGGTGTTACAAATGTATTTGCGTTGTGTCTATTCCAAAGTCTCTATTTCTCTAGGAGATGCAGACATTTTTCAAGAGGCCCTTTATAATTAGTTCACACATAAACTTGCAATTTACTTCATTTTTTCTGACAGTAATCAGAACAGCAGTGTGTGCTCCATCAGTGTTAGAATTGATATAGAATTAACTTTATATTTTTATAAAGCATGTATTTTTTCGAGGTATTTGTCTTTAATTGTCCATATTTCTTTGCAGATAACACCTATGTGTCAAGTTCAGAAAATGATGAAGATGTATTAGTTACTACAGAGCCAATTCCAGTAATTTTTCATCGAATAGCAACAGGTAGTAGGAATACACTATTTTTTATTCTAGGTTAATATTTTTTTGCTTGTAGGTAGCTTTGTTGTTTGGTTTCTTTTAGCCTGTGTAACAGATATTAATCTTTAACAGATATAAATCTAGTTCTTCATACAAATTTTCTATCTAAAGTGCATTTATTTTTTAGCAGTTTCTTAAGTGCATAAATTTACCATGCTTGAAGAAGTCTTTTTAAAATGTATTATGTTGATATTTGCACTTATGAAAATATTTTCGTGCATAATGACACTGCTAGAGAAACAATATTTAAAAAGCATACTTAAGGCAGTCTAGAACCCATGAAATATATAATGAGAACTGAAAGAATTTGAATAGTGGTATTTTAGTTTGACCATATTTTTATGAGCAATGAAAAATCAGAATAGCTTATATACTATGTAACTCCCCAGCATAATATAATTTTAAAAATCCCTTAATTTCTTGCAAAAAAAGGGACTCACCTAAAGTGTTTTAATATTGAAATGTATGAATGTTTGATAAATAGTATACTGAAAACTAAAATGATGTTTTAATATAACTTTCAGAATTAAGAAAGACAAATGACATTAATTGTTGCTTATCCATAAAATCCAAATTACAGAAGGAAAATGGGGAGGTATGTAAATTATATTTTATGTTTCTTTAAAACAGTACAGATAATTTTAAAATTTACTGTGTATTTGTAGTTAATATCATAATTGTTGTTTAGGTTAAAATTGCACAGAGTGAATGAAGCTCAGTTTCATGGCTTATGGGGTTTATTGTATGAGAAGGGTAGTGGCCTAAAATTAACTCTGAGAAGGAAACTTCCTTTAAAATCATAGAGAGAAAGCCTGCTTTAAATCTAGAGTACATATAAAACCTTACTTAGTGTTGTACTATTCATTCTACTCTCCTTATCTGCACTGAAAATCACTGATGTAGAAATACTGTTGCTGAAACCAAAAACTGTTAGCATTGTATAAAACCCAAATTCCCCTTTCTGGGGTTTTTTTTTTTTTTTTTTTTAATTTTCCTTAAGAATTTGAAATTTAGTCTAGAAACTTAGGGATGATTACAAAGCATTGGTTTCATAGATTCTTGTGTCTAAAGGAGGCTACCTTTCTCCTAATTATTTTAACAGTGCCGGGAATAGGATTACCACCATTAGTTACTATAGATGAATTTCATCATTCGTGCTTTAGACACATAACAGATGTGGTTCAGTTAATTAGAAACTCAGACTTCAAGTTTAAGCATATTTAATTAAATATCCTTTTGAAATCTGAAATCAAAAACAATTTCAATATACTGGAAGTTCTCTTCATAATATAATCCATACTTATTTTCATAATTTGATTTTTATATTATTGGATTCAAAGTGTCTTTTCATATCATTGTACAGAGTAGGCAGTGGAAGAAATAGTCTGGGATAAATAATGCTGAGGAACTTCTTAATAAAAATTGCATCAGTATGAGCTTGTCAGATCTTTTATCAGAATAAAACCAAAGTTGTAATTGATTATACATAGTTTTTTATGTATACATCAAAAACTAAATTGTGTAACTCAGGATAAGCAAAATAGCATTTTTAAGAAATATGTACATAGAGTTTAATGAACCCACAAAACTGTCTCTTACTACCTTTTGTTTTTGGTTCCTATTACACCAAGAATGTTTTCACGTAAAATCCATGTGATATGAACAAGTCCTCCTGTTATGGCCACTTGATATACTGTCTTTTCAGAAAAAGGTAAACTGGTTTTTAAACATTGACATTGTCTTCTTACTATATCATTTTAAGGAGTCAAGACAAAATAGTACAGTGGAAGAAGATTCTGAAGGTGATAATGACTCTGAAGAATTCTATTATGGAGGACAGGTAAGCACACCAGGTCCTCCAAACATCCACGCTCGAAGTTAGTGATAGCCATCTACGTGTCCCGGTGGGAATCTGTGCTTCTGATCAGAGGGAGCTATGTGTTTGTTCATGGTTCTGTAACTAGGAAATGTGTATAATCTATTTGTTTCTCATATTCTACAAATTTTCAGAAGTTAAGGTTACTTTTGCAATTCTTTGACCGTAATCGTTTACATTGAAGTTGTCTTACTACTGTGTGATTTTGCACACAGCATTTCATTATGTTTTTGACTTTCTACATTTCTTAAGTGTATCGTGCTCAGTCAGCATTTTGAAATGATGACAGTTCTAATAAAAGCGTGCATCATTAGTTTCAAACAGATGATTAACCTTTATAAAACTTGATGGGCCCTAATTATTGAGCATCTCCATTATTTACATTCATTGTTTTCCTTTTCCTCTTGTACTAATGTAAAGTGTTTATTGAAAAGTTGTTATGAAGAAACATTGTAATTTATAGACATGAAAATGGCATAGCCACATGGGTATATATTTTTTGTTCTAGGATTATGTTAAAATTTTAAACGGAGCCATTAATTTTAGGATATAGCTATATAAGATGTCTTGTTCTGTTTCTGTAAACTTGATCAAATATGCTTTGTAACTTGGATGATATAAAGAGAAGATAATATGTTAAAAATGAGATCGTGCTTTAAAAAAGTACTTTAAAGCCAAAGTTTATTACATAAATGAATGCAAGTCAATTTATTCATTCAGAATCAAAAATCAGTAATTTGTCACCCAAGCATATGCAAGGTAGTAGAGTTAGGGACCTAAATAAAACTAGGTTTCTTCTCTCCAGCATGCCTTTCCAGCAATGGGATACTTTATCTAATGATTCTTTAACCAATGTAACATTTTAACATTATGCAAAGTAATTCTTCCAGTTTTGATTTGTGTTTTCACAGCTAATTCTTACAGAGAGGAAATAAATGCTTTTCTTCAGTCTAGCTAATCAGTCTAGAAGTTTTTTAGATTATCTGCCAGACACTTATTTCACTCCTCTTAACATTTGCATTTTCTTTGTATCAAAGCAATCTAATTTTGCTTTTTAAACATGATAAATTATTCTAGACATATGTGAACTTAAGAACTGACGTGAATATGTTGCCGAATTATCTATATTTTTTAATGAAGGTGACAAAGAAAATGTCCATGGCAGAACCTATGCGGTGACCTGTCCAAGAGATAGTTTGTTTTTTTGGTTCTTTTGATTCTCTTTACCCCTAAGTCACTGCTAAACCATCCCTTTTCACCAGGTGAACTATGACGGGGAACTGCACAAGCACCCACAGCTCGAAGCTGATTTGTCAGCAGTGAGAGAGATATATGGTCCACATGCAGTTTCTCTAAGGTAAATAAATACTTTTGGTGAATAAAAATTAACATTATTTGGTAAGTCATTGGGATTTTCTATTGGAGTTATTTAAGTGGAAATTTTCTTGAGCTTAATTATGTTTGAAAATATTTGAGAGATTCTGTTGTGTTTCTACTTATACAAAATGGCATATTTATGGCTATATTTGTGTGTGTGTGTGTGTGTGTGCATTAAAGAAATTAGTTATTTAGGAAAGGTAATTTGATAAAATATCAGTCTTAAGTAGTGTCACAATCAGTTCCTATAATAGATTTGGCCAGCTGGGCCCATGCTGTTATCATAAATCAAGAGCACATTCATGTGAACAATGAAAGTAAATAATGCATAATGACTGGTAACCAAATCACATTGTGATATGTCATCTGGCCCCTCAAAAACAGAAAGGGGAAAAAAAAGACATAAATTTGCCCAGTGTTTATTTGAATGATAATGTATTTCATTCTGCCTTTGCTTAATATATTATTTGGTGATAAATTTCCAGACCATTTTTTTATTACTTTTAATCATTCAGAAGACTCCACCATCCTTATTTACCTTTCTTTACCCTCCTAATTTAAGAGAAACCCTTTTCTGCCACCATACTAGTTACCTTCCATGATCTGATTATTTCAGATTCCTGTTCTTTGCCTCCTTGGAATTCCAGAATCCTCTCCCAACCTGACCTCTATTCCAGCCTTATACACCAAAGCCAGAATTTGTTGCCATCCCCAAATGTGCTATATTCCCTCTTGACATTGGACATTTGAACAGGCATTTCCCTTATCAAGCAATGTTTCACTCACAACCCCCATTGCTCTCTTTATTCAAGCCCCAGTCCAAAGGTCAGCTTTTCTTTGAGCCTTCTTTGAATCTCCAATGCAGATTAGTTATTCTGCCTCTTGGGCTCCCATCACATTTGGCTCTTACCTCATTTATCATACTTCCCTTGTCTTGTAATTATTGGTTTACTTCTTTCCTGCTAGACTGAATTCTGTGGATCCTGGGGCAGCACAGTTTGTGTGTGTGCACGCGCGTGCATTATTTTGTTTTGGTTTGGTTTTTAAGCACGCTTGTATTCTGGTATTTAGCATAGCACAAGGCATATATGAAATACGCTCTGGTGGATTCTTGTTTGTTTTCATCGGCAACATCTATGAAAGATGTTCCAATTACCTGGTTATTTAGATAATGTGAACATCTCTTTCCAATGGACATGTCCAGATTTGGAAAGAGCAAATAAGTACTTTTAGTTGGGAAGTACAACACAGCTCTAATTTATTTATAATTGCCAAAGTTTCGTTTTAACTGTGGAAATGGAAACTGACAGCCTCCTGCAGCCTAAATAAGCTGGGGCTGTATTCCTAAACCCTCCCTCCCACTCCTGGAGTTATATTAGGCTGCAATTGAGTGAGAGTGATTTGAATTATAATTGGAAAAGCAAATCTTTGCAATTTTCAAAGTTTCAGCAAATGAGCTGTGATCATTTCATTGTTGACCCCTGCTATGGCTCGAGGGTAGGAAATAAAGATATTCAATAAGTGGATAAATGAAGAAGGCATTAGTAACAATCAATAAATAGTCTAAAACAATGACTAATTTTTTAACTTTAGTTGAACTTTGCTTGAAAGCTTAAAACTTTAATTACAGAAATTTAACCTCCTTCTCCACTGGAATAAAAAAAGGCTGTAGGATATAATTAATCATACAATACAACATAGAATTCAACTTCTTTTCATTTGAAATATGTATTTTTGTTTAGAGGATTATATTAACACATGTTGATTGCTCTTATAGTTTAAGACTTTCTTTAAACACATACTTTCATGCTATCTAGGCCCCAATTATATTGTCACGTATATATGAGTTTTTTTGGTTTCATCAGCAAGCATTTATATTAGTATTTTACATATTAGTGAAATTATTGATAATTTATCAACTGTTGAAATTATATAAATATTTGGAATTTTATTTAAAGGAAATATCTAAAGCCATAAATGGTTTTGATTCTTTTTCTCCTTGCTTATTTCACTTATAAGTTTTGATCCAATTTAAATCTTAATGAATGCAAGCCATGTTCTTGCCTGCTCTAGATTTTCTCTAGCTACAGAGGATGTTTCCAGAATAAATAACCTCCCAGAGGTCTAATGATAGAAAGGTGAATCTCAGCAGGACTAGTTTGATTTACATAAAATAAATAAGAACGACTTTACTGTCTAGTCTCCAATACTGAGGACTGGACACATGGGAAAAGGAGTAGTTAGGCATAAGGTCTTAGAATCATCTGCCTTGCAAAGTTCTAAGTCTGTTGAAAACAGACTGTTCTAATTAGCTGTTCTTTTACTTAATTGAGGTTTATAAGAACTTAATGGAGTTTGAAGAACAAAAGTACCTCAATATGCATAATAGTCTATTCGGTGTCATTTTTTTAATGTGACATCTAATGAGAAAGGCAGCTAACCACATCTGAGTTCTCTGTAAGAGATGGAAATAACTGAGATTGCCTCAACTGAGGCAAAACCTTCTTAAAAGGTCGAAGAAGAATATATGAAAAACGACTGATGATAAATTTATTAAAGTAGATAATTTCAGCTCTACCTAGCCGTATCATCCAAAAGCAGAATACTGGGTGTATCGAACCGTACTTGTAAACGCTGATGACAATTTTGATTCATAAGCTCTTGTACAGGAAGTGGGTTAGGTCTCTTGGGGAATGTTATTAACCCTATGATTAGTCTGAATATGTCTCATCTTGAATCATGCAACAAAATGAGGATGCTTTATGCTTTATATTATAAATTTACTACTATAGTCAAGTATTTATAAAAAAAGAAAATTGATCTGTGCCATCTGAAAATTTGAGATTAACATCTGTAGAAGACTAAGGAATTACAAGTCAGAGAATTCTCATTTGGTCAGGAACTATATGATGATTCTGATCATTTGCTTGTGATGTTTCAAACTTCCACCTCATATAAAGTATTGTTTGCTATATGATCGTATCATCTTCCATTTTAAAATTGAAGCCATAGGAGTAATAGTCTATCCTTTTAATTGTGACTAATACATAATAGAGATTGGAATAGTTCAAGATTGTGCCTGTTTTATGTTTATATCACTTTTTGTGGATGGACAATCACAATAGGGCCTTTTGGAGCTGACATTTGGGAGGGCACGGTGAGGAGTTTTTAAGGTTTGAGAAGCCTATACTACTGTATTCAGACTCACCTCCCAAACATATAGCTCGAAAAAAAGAAAAAAGAAAAAAAGAAGGAGAGAGGGAAAGGAAAGGAAGGACAAATTTTTGCCACATAAACCGGGATGGACCATTTAATTTCTCCGGATTTCTAGGTTTTTATTTGTAGTGACCAGTAAAACTGTTTACAAATCTTCTAGTTCTCTTCTGGCACATGGTAGGATTGTGTTTCCCTTGCTGCTTTTCATGTTAGACATGGACACAGAACTAGTTCTGGTCAGTGAAATGTGAGCATGAGTGCTAATGTGTGAATTCCCGTACCGTCTGGACTCCGTCATTCTGGGCCCCTTAGTGAATGCAATGAGCAACATTTCAGCCCTCTCCCCTGAGTCCATAGTAATCATGTAGTGGGACTGAGATACAGATCCTGTTTTATTGTAAAACACGGAGATTTTGAAGATGTTTATTACTCCAATAAAGCTTAACCTGCACTGAAATAAATCATTTATCAAAAGATCTTGGTTTGGCTGTTGTAATGTTTTATCCAGCCTATTGTTTCTCTCAATTCTGCCTCCAGAACCTAAGAAAAAAGCAGTCCGACTCTGAAAACCAGCGGAAAGTGATGACAGGTGGCACACCAAAAAAATAATTAATAAATAAATAAAAATTAAAAATTAAAGAAGAAAAAGAAAGAAAGAAAGGAGAGAGTATTTTCCAAAAACACTGGTACATAATCTAGACCTAAGCTTCAGCATGTCAGATCCCTGATAGTCACCTCAACTCCAACACCTATATTATCCTCAAGCAAAACCAAGGATTTTTAAGCTAAGGGCAGAGTTGTAGCAACTGTTTATACTGAACCTCTTATACACTATTATTTTATCTGGGTTTTCTTTCTTTCTTGGATCTAATTTTTAAATTCCTCTGAGCCTTGTTTTCCTTTAGAGAAGTATATATCTGTCTTGGATACAGTCTTGCCGATGCTTTAATCTGCCAAGATTTCTGACTACTGAGTTTGCATATTTCTTGGCCCATTCACAAATATCTCTCCCACACTGAGCAAAAAACACATTGAGAAGGCATGCAGAGATAGACATGCAAGCTGTTGAGTTTCAGATGTCATAGGAAGACATGTTTCTTCACAAAATAAATCTCTTCTCAAAATATAGCTGACCAGTTGTTGAAGGCAGAAATAACTAAATAGTAATAGAGGTTTATTTCCCAACAACATTAGGTAGAATTTCATGTACGTGTGTGTATATGTATAATTTCCTTGACAGTTAAGAAGGGAAAGCTAAATGTATAAAATATATTTTTATAACCACACAATCACTGCTAATTTTGATCAGATAATATTATAAAATATCACAGTACTATCATGAATAGGCTATAGTTTTACATAGAAAAGAGGACCATTACAGATGGTCTAATATTAAATATATTGTGAGTATGTATGTCATGTCTCATTAACAAGGATGTTGACTTGGTTAATCCATTAAAAAACAGGAGACTAGATTGCCAAGAATTCTAACACAAAGTGCTCTCAAAAATACATGTTCATAGAAAAATATATTTCATATATGTTCTTAAATAAACGGTCATATGTAAATATCAAAAAAAAAAAAAAATCAAACGGCCAAATTTCAGGAAATGTTAATTCAAAAAAGTAGCTGAGATGTCTGGAAAGAAATTTATGGACAATGTCCTTTCAAACCCTATCTTTCAGAGTGAAATAACTGCATTAGATCATTTCTGTGTTGTTTTCCTTATCCTAAAACAGTGTTCAGGTTCAATTTGATGTGATCTCTTAACAGTGCATAATACAGGCAGTGCAGGAAATTATTTTGAATTATTATAAACCCAATACAGCATTCGGTACACAATCAGATATCTAACTTCACAATTCAAGTAGCATTCATATTTGAAGCATTTGCCTTGATTCTGCATTTGCTGTTCATGAGATTGGGGCTACTGAAAGTTATTCAGATATAGAAGCAATCCTGATGACTGGGTCACTGCATCTGGACAGACTGTAATCACACTTTCTGTAATCTTGCAGTGGGAAACATGAAATTACTGGCATTATATAAAAAGGGCATCACAACGGAAATTGGTTTGCATATGCAGAGCATTGTGAATTCTTTGAAGTGTGGCATAAAAACAAAAAGTGTAACTATTTACAGATCTACACCTGCAAATCCAATTAATTGCAAATCTTTAATGCCTCTGCCTCCTTAAAATTCTATATTTGTGCTTTGCTGTGGTGGAGAAGAGCACTTGGAACCCTTTATTTCCTTTTTTTTTCCTTTGAAAGAAATGGATAGTGTTAAAAATTTGGGGAGAATACTAACTTTTAACCAAAAAATGTTGAAGAAATTATGTGAATACTTAAAATTCACATACTAAAGTTTTTAAAAGAATGTATGTCACATTCTGATGCACAACGTGGTAAAATTCAATTAACATGGTCTGGAAATTTATTTATGAAGAAAACAATTGTGGATAAGGTTTTTTACTGATTTTTGTTACCTCTGATTTCTTTCTCTCTGCTTCTAAACATACCAAGCCTTGCCATTATAAATAAATCCAAATAAAGGTTATTCTTCCCTATAAAATTGGCAAAGATGGGTGAAAAAAATGGCTGATAATGATGAGGATATGGGAAATGGTGACTGTGGAAAATGGCTGGTATGGTGATGTATTGTTTTGACCTTTTAAAATAGTAATTAGACAAAATACATAGCTCAAGAGTCCAAAATGTAGTTATACCATTTATTTCACTCAGTAATTCTAGAAATTATTCTGTGAGAAGACAGATGCATGTAACTTTTTATCCAGAGCACTATTTATCAATATTTATAGTTTAAAAAAAGAATCAAAAGCCACCTAATGTTGGATTATGCAATTTTATTTATATAAATATAGCCATTTAAATTAAATGGTTTTGAAGAATATTTCACAGTATAGAAAAAACTCATATAGAAGGAGTGAAAGAACAGGACAAAAATCTTCAACATACCATATTATCCTTAATAAATTGTATATATTACATGAAATATTAATATACAAAAGAGACTGGACTGAGATATAAGCAAAAGAATTATCTCTGAGTAGTAATATTACAAGTTACTTTTTGTTCATTTTTCTCTTTCATATTTTATATAATGAGACTGTAATCAGAAAAAGTACATGTTTCTAGAAAATACATAACATATTTAAAAAATAAATTTTACCCACAATCTATAGTTAATATATAAGTACTCTTTTTACTTCTTTTGATTTTCCTGTTTCTATTTTATTTTAAAAAGGTATTTTAGTTTCTATACTTTTTTGATAATCTCTTTGCTCTGTAAGTAGTGTATTTGGAACATTTCCCTGAGGACATGAAATATTTTTATATCAACTTTTTTGTTAATGAGTAATTTTTTAAAATCATAGCAGTGTGCTATAGTTTAAATATTTCCTTATTTAACATTCATTTACTTTCCAATTTCTGCTGTTAACATACATCTTTTCAGGTAAAAGTTCGCACATATTTGTTATAATTTTCTTGGGAATGGTTGTAGTCAAGGTCTCTTCACCCCACTGAAATGTCTTTTCAACATTATTAGTAATCTATACTTGTCATCACATTTAAAGGTGCTTTTCTTTTAACATGCCTAGCTATAGATATTTGATTTCTTGTATTTATGAATAATTTGCTAGTATTCAAGGTCAGCAAATTATGAACACTGGGCCATGGAGCCTGTTTTTGAACAGCCTATGGGCTGCAACTGGTGTTTGCTTTTTAAAAGGGTTTTGGAGGTGGGGCGAGGAGGAGTGGATGGGATAAAAGGGGTCAAATATGTAGTGACAGAAGGAAATAGGAAATCTAACTATGGGCCATGAACACACAATGCAATGTATATATAGGCCATATTGTTGAAACGTACGCCTGAAACTTACTGGATTTCGTTAACCACTATCACCATAATAAAAAATAAAATAAAAATAAATAAAAGTGTTTTGAATAAAAAGCAAAAAGGAATATGGGACAGATGCTCTATATTTCCTAAAAAGCCTAAAATATTTACTATCTTGACCTTTACAGGAATATTTACTGAATCCTGGACTAGCATGAAAGAAACGATTCATGTGCTTGGTCTTTATCTTAGTTTCTATATAATTTTATAACTAAATTGGCTATTTTTATATCTAAAATTGCATAAGGTTGTAAAGGTTCTTATTCTTTATGGATAACATATGTTTTGATGTATATGCAATTTTAAAAATTAGTTTCTATATGAATGATTTTTATCTCTTTTTTTAGCCTTTAAAAATATTACCATGAAAGAATAAAAAGTACGATTTTGTACATAATGAAAATGTGTTCAGTGTTTTAATATATTTTTAAGGGGAGAAGGGAGAAAGCATAGAGGCTAAGTTATTATATTCTATTATGTTGCATTATTTAGTCATAGATATCAAAAAGCAAAAAGACTCTCTAGATTCCTTTATCTATCAAAGTATATAAAACCATTTAATCATTAAAAATGTATTTTCTGAACTCTATAAAAGTGCCATGATTTTGTACTATATTAACATTACTTGAATATACATATGATACACAATAATTTTCATTGAGTGCTTCCTATGTGCCAGATACTGTACAGTTTTTAAGTTGGACATGAATTCAACGTCTGACTTCACTCACTTCTTACCTGCCCTTTGGCAACTTGTTTCACTTCCCTAAAGTTTTTCTCATTTGCAAATGAGGATAGTAATAGTATTCTTGTTGTTACACTATGATCAGGACCTAATGAGATCATGTGTTAATGTTTGACCTGATGTCTAACACAAAGTGAAAGTATATTGAATTTTGAACTGATAAAATGCTTACATAAATAAGTAGAACATACATATACAAATCCCAGCTCTGCTACAGAGTGATATGATGAGTGACTTATTTTATTACTTTGGTCCACGGTTAATGCATATATAAATTGGAGTGGTAGTAGTTCTTTTAGTGCATTCTGATCACATTTATGTAAAATCTCGAGAACAATTTCTGGCATATAAGTGCTTAATAAATATTAGCAGTTAACTTTTATCATTTCTCTTTTTTCTATAGTTTTCTTTCTCACTAGGATAGCATTTGTAACTTCATAATTTTATTAAAATATCAAAAATAGAGATGCATGTATATGGAGAATATAAAAACTTGTTTTTATGATGTTTTGTTGACTTTAAGAAAATATTCTGGTTTTTGGCACTACCTGGACTGGAGAAAAGTTTGTCTTCGTAGTGTCTTCATGTGGAAAATAACCGTTGTTACTTGTTTTAATTTTTGATATGTCAGACTTACAGAGCTGCCTATGAAAAAACAGTGACATTTAAGTGGCAGAGTACCTCAAGCAGTTTTAGAACCATCGTTGTCTATCTAACACGGAATGAAAATTCTTGGACGCATTATCGAGGCAATAAATTACACCCACTGCCCCTAGAAGCAGCTCTTCATCCTCAGTGAGCACAATGAAAATGAAGCTGTCACCTGCGAAGACTATTTAATTTGCCACAGAGAACTGAGGATGTTTGAAACTGTGAACCAGACAACTCTTGAATTTATGCATTCATATGCATATATGTAAAGATGGAAAGATGTCTGTGTGGTATAAATAGATCACAGAAGACGACAGTCCAACTAGATCAAGTTAATTCATGTTCTCAGTCATTTCTGAGCTGTCTGTGGAAATCAGGGATGAGAATTAGTGATTACATTTTTAATTTAAAATAACCCAGGAAAATGAAAAAAATGTTAATCTTTGCTTTCAGGGAATATGGAGCCATCGATGATGTAGATATTGATCTGCATATTGATGTTAGCTTTCTTGATGTAAGTATCAACTTATGCAATACGATTGATATATTTAAAAAACATTTATTTTTATTCTCAGAAGAAATTTAAGTTTATTTCTCTTGTAATACTATTAGTAACATGACTTTTTCAGAATGATTTATGAAGAAATGCTATGATTGGTTGAAAAATCAGAGATTTTATATATATAAAATACATATATTTGTGTTGGTTCTTTTAATACATATGCTGAAATTTATGGGCTCTTAGTATATTACTTCATTATTTCTTAAGTTTTCATTTTAATTTTCTATGTAGAAGGCAAAAATTAAGAATACTTTGGCTTTTCACAAACCAGTAGGTTTTGAGATAATTTATAGGCCTTAATGATTTATGCATTTCTTCAAAATAAGTTAAAAAATATATGTATTTTTTTAATTTTGGAAAAGCACATCAAGAACTCTAAAAGCACATCAATGACTAATTTATCTTTAAAATATATTTGCACAGGAGGAGATTGCTGTGGCTTGGGAAGTGATTCGAACAGAACCTATAATTGTCCGACTACACTGTTCACTCACACAGTATTTAAATGGTCCAGGTTAGTTTTATTTCTCTATTATTTTGAATATTAACTAATTGTGCATTGTACATTAGCAAAATGACTGTTCATTTGGTAATTCTGAGCATAATTGCAGCTTTCTTGATAATAATATTTAAATATACTTGCATCCTAATTAAGATGATTTATCGCCAATATAACTTCTAGAAACTGAAACATTTAACATTTAGTTGTATGGATTTCAAAAGTTGACAAATTGCTTTGAAACAAACACAGTAAAGTCTAAAAGAGAGCTTTGCATGTAGTAGAAGCTCAGTAAGTATATTTTAGGTTGCCCTATGTCTCTGATTCTGAGATTTAATTTTAATGTTTGTTTCTTTCACTTTTGATTACTGATGAATTTAGTCTAAGTGTAACATAGACTAAATTCCTGTTTTTGACATTAGAGATCATAATAATATTTTTGTTTTCCAATAACTTAAGGGATGATTTTTCTATATCTCAACTGATAGCTATTCACAACAAAAGATCCTATTATAAATCTTTCCAAGACTTACTGGATTAAATCTGTTTTTCCTGCCTACTAACATGCACATGCGTGCATGCACATGTGTGCACGCGCGCGCGCACGCACACACACACACACCCACACACACCTGTATCTGCTCATATTGTTCCATATATTGCATAACAAACCACTCCATAATGTAATGGCTTAAAATAACATACCTCTCCCCATTCTTTGGACTCAACTGGGCAGCTCTTGCTTGGAGTCTCCCATGCTTTTGGAGTTAGGTAGATTGTTGATGAGGCTTATGTCATTAAAGGCTCCACTAGGTTGGATGGTCATGATGCTAGACTTTCAGATGGCTAGCATTGATGCAGGCGTCATCTCAGAGCTTGGCTGGGGCTCTTGACTAGAATGTGTACCTTACACAGACTTCTTCATGTGGTTTTAGTATTTCGTAGCAAAGTCTAAAAGCAAGTTTTCCAACAGATAGGATGTAATGCTGACTGGACAAAGGATCTGTGAATCTTCCACTGTATTCTGTTGATCACAGTACTTGAAGAACCCACCCAGAATCAAAGAACGGGGACATAGATGGCACCTCTTGGGGTTGCGGCCATCTTTAATCTGCCATGCATACTTTACTGTGGTCGCTACACATTTTCTTTAGTATTAAGAAACTTAGATCTACAGTTAGTTTCTACCTAAGAAAAATAGCTGTTCTTTCAAGTTTATGAAACATGAGAAAATCTCTCATTTTGAAAATGTTTATTGTCACCTCTTTTCCATCTTTGTTTAATGTATTCTACTTAAATAATCAATTCTTAATACAAATAACATAGTAGTGACTGATGTGATTTAGTGCTGGACAAAGACAAATAGATGTTACATATTTTTTATTTTGATTATTTTAAATATATAGAAATGTAATAAAGAAGAAAAATAATTATAATCCTGTACTGAGAAGACTAAATAGTTTGGTGTCTCAGTTTTCTATACATACACGGTCTATTTTCATAAAGTTGGCATTGAATTGATAAATAGTTATGTACATTAATGTTAGGTCATGAGACTGTCCTCATCATTAAATTTTTAAAAATAGAATGATTTGTAATATCTATGTAGTATTCCAGCCTATAGGTCTTATGGTCTTGCTGTTTCCCCACATATTCTGCTGTATAATATTTTTCTTTCTTTAATGATTTGAAATGTGCTCATTTTATTTTATTCTTGTAGTGATTAAAAGAAAAAGGCTTTATGTCAGAACTTTTTAATTTATTGGGGTTAGGAACAAAATTGGGTCAGTTCGTTCTACTCCCCCCAACTCCATCTGTGTGAGATGAGAATGTGGCATGCTTTTATGTAATCTTACCACTGTTACTCATTTTTTAATATAATCTTCAACTTTAGGTAGATTTTCCTTCACAATATCTCTTTAAAGATTTGTTATAATTGCATGTTTTTATGAATATAGTAACAATAATATTTTAATTTGTATTTAGATGATTTTATTATTCAATATCACTTATTTAGTATCATAACTCATCCATAATTTAATTCTTTTTTTACTTCTATTAGCTTATTTACATTTTTAATAGTTTGTAAACTAAAGAAACATGAGGGTCATGCTTTGTCTTTTCATACCTAAGAAGCATGAGAGTTATGCTTTTTCGTTTTATACCTGAGAATGACTCCTTTGTTTTGTGAACAAGACAAACTTGACCAAGTATATAAATTTATGGAGTAATAACTGCTCCTCCCAAAAAGGCAAAAATTCTTTAGTGAAAACTTATGCTAGCTTATGTTGAAGTTTTTTAATTTTTTTTTTTTTTTTTGTATAAATCTACTTTGTGTTTGTTAAGTGTATGTATTGGGCTATTTTTTCTCTTTCTCTGTTATATTCATTTATATATTTATTTTTGATTGGTGTTAATTCCCCCAAAACAACTTCTATGTAATTATTTTATTGTTCCTTTATCTGCTCACTCTGACAGATGTAGATTAGATCTAATACCTCTGTCCTTCATGTTGTTTATCATTTCTCTTAGTCTTTCATCCTTCACCTCTGAGTATTTTATAATGTTTTCCCTTTTGTCTTCTCCATTAAGTGAATTTTTTTCCTGATTCGGTCTTTCACATCTCCCTTCTGTTTTTAATTGGACTGCAATTTTTACTGAAACCGTACTATTTCCTCTTTACCATCAGTTGCTCTCATTTTATTTATACAATGTTATTTTGAATTTTGTTGTGAATCACTAATCGTCCAAGATTTATAATTTTAATTCCTATAGTTGGAGTTTAGTTTTCTCAGTATTCGAGCGGGAGTTGAAATGCACTCCTTTCAGAAATTAGTGTGATTTGTGTATGATTTCTTATGTTAGGAAAATGGAACATAGAGAATTCCACATTTACTCTGCTCTAGATTCATTAGTTCTAAGATCTGACCTCTGAAGTAGGGTGGGTTGTGAACTTTCTTGGTGCCACACCCGACACCCTTGGACCCCTTGTAGCAGCACTGTGCTCCTATCCCCAGCTTCTGAATGCTTTGTTGCCAACAGCTCACACTGGGACCCTAGAGCTTAGACATCAGACACATTAGAGCTTCCTTTTTCCTGGAGAGAGCAGGTAAGTACTTGGGAGTTCTCCGTGGTGTGACTGGTGTGGGAGTACTGTGGCTCAGCTACATTGCCTCAAGACTGGACAGACTTTGTGGTGTAAGTTATGCTCCACGGTTACCCACAGAATCAGTCTGAAGCTTAAACTTCACTCAGATTGGTACCCTTACTCTTCCTCTTTTTCTGTCTTTCTCCCTGCTTCACATCTCCTATTGGTTTCTCCTGGGAGCAATTCCATAGTACATTATTTGCCCCCAAATCTTCACTCAGGGTCTGTTTCTAGGAGAACCTGGCCTTAGATTGTGGATCTGGGGGCAAGAGAGAAGTCAGCATCTGCTTCAGGAGGAGGCCCTGACAGGCCAACCAGCCCTTTATGAAACTGCCCTGTGGCAAACTCTGCTTGGTGGCTCACCTGCCCCTTTATTTTAAGATGTGTTAATGGTGGTCAGCCTTTAGCTTCCAACTTTTTCATAGAATGGGGAATTTTGAGTCAGCCCTGGAGGGCCCCTTAGGATTGCTCTATTTGTAGCAAAATTCTCTGGAAGTATCTCACACAGGGATGGCATTATTTTAAGTTTCTCGTCCTTTTGCTGGTTTTCTCCCATTTTCATGATGCACTGGTTGCAATGAGGCTCGTTCTGGACTTACTAGTAAATTTCCCCAAAGGTTATTTTTTCTAAGAGAAAATTGGAGGGAAATATATGATTTAAAATGGGCAGTAATATAAAATATGTGACAAGAACTAGAGACAGTGACACTAAAAAATAACATAATTTATTATTCCAGAAAAAATAATTAGGTTTTATCCCAGTTTATGATTTGACTTATTGGAAACAAAAACGACCAGAAAGATTTTCTTGACTGTTTTACAATATGTCTTTGAAGTTATCAGCATTTATAGTAAAATTAACTTGCAGAAAGTGTATGACTAAACCAAGGTTTAGACTGACCTAGTTAACAGTTCTCTTTGAAAAACATTTATTCTTAGGTTTTGGAAATGTATGAATAATACATTTGAACTATAATATTCGGCTAGTGCTAAGCTGGCAATAATATATCTGTGCGTGAAAAGGAATGATAAGAATTGAAGAAATTCACCTTCTTACCCACTTTGAAATTAAAGATAAGGGTTATTTTCATTGTACACGGGGAAATATACTTTAGATAAAAGGACACAATTGTTATAATTCTTAAGATATATTTTTTTAAGAATTGCTGGTATATAAGTCTAGTTTCTGATCTCAGAGAGGGCTGCTTTTAGTTTAAAGTGATCAACTGACATTATTAAAATGTTTTTTTGTGCAAATCATCTTAGTATTGATATCTCTACATTTACATGATCAGAGTATTAGAATAATTTCTGCATATCTTAAGCAGCCCTTATTGCCTTCCCAACCTAAATTATATGAGACAATAAAAAATTGAATAACTTTCATCTTTTTTAAAACATAAAAATATTTTACTAGTGTATTCTGTTAAGTTATTCCTCATTCTCTTGCCCCCAGAAACAAACCCTGTGTGCAATCTAATTGTTTGAGGTAAACGTCCAAATAAATTTAGAAAGAATAGACATTCTTATAATATTTACTTTTCCTAGAAAGGAACATTTGTTTGTAGTTTCCAGTTTTTTATATGTCAGTACACTTCTATGTTTTCTTGTTTGTTTGGGTTTTTTTTGTAATAGGTCACTGATTTTAGCCAAATTTATTCCTGAATACTTGTTTACTATTTGTTTAATAGGACTTTTATATAACAATATATATTCTGATTACTGGTTATCTATTACTTTTTAAAACAGTTTAAAAATTAATCTAAAACATTTTTAAATTTAAAGAAAAATTGCATAGGTAGTACTGAGTTCCCATACATTCTATATCCAGTTTCATTCATTTTTAACGTCTTATATGAATAAATTAAATACAATTGTAATAATCAAGTTCATCGATTTTAATAGTAACATGAGTTTTTCACTTGAATTTTTGAATATTTTTGGAAGTAACATATTATTAAGGTCTTTCAGTATATTCCAAAATTTGGGAGCATTCAGATTTTATACTCCTGATTAAATCAAAGTTTGTAACATTTTCTAGTCACAGTATCAATAAGTTATGGTCTTTGTAGTATTAATTTGCAAGAATAGTTTATATATTCTGGATAAATATTCGTGTCTATTACTATCTCTTCTCTCCCTCCCTATATATATCTTACACAATTTCCTCCAGTAAAGATTTCAGTTCTTTTAGAGTATTTTGGATTTTTCTACTTTTTTTTTTTAACCAGATCTCTTTTGTTTCTCTGCTTCCATCTTTCCAGTCACTTTTCCATCTGCCTGTGAAGATTGTGTCTTCTTAAATCTTCTTTGAGAGAGCACAGTGTGTTCTAATTTAGTCATCTTTTTTTTTCTTTTTTTTTAATAATTCCTCCGAGTTTTTAAGATATTAAGATTTTTTGTTCACTTTCGAATATCTATAGCCCTGGGTTTGGGACAGGTGGGATTGATGGGCACGGTATTCCTCACTCTCTGTGCAAGGTTTAGAATGTTTTTAGGAAAGGAACCGATTGGCGATACTAACACCAATTTTCTTTGATCAGCAGGGTGTTTGTATCAGGAGTAATGGCCCACACAGGGAGTGAGGCAATTGTGGTTACCAGTTTGGTTTACAGTGTGGAGCTTATGTGGTCTGAGAATGTCTTATTAAGACAATCTTTACTCTAATTATCTGTTATCCCAACCGTTAGTGTGAATGGCTGTGTCTGTGCTCCTGTGTAATGTCAGCCTTCTATTTGCATGTTAGCTTGCATCCCCTTTCTCCTAATTAAGACATCATTCCAGCAATTCTCCCTCTCCTTGTACTGTTCATGTCTCTTTCTCTTCTAGAAGATTGCCATCCGCCAAAAAAGATTTCTCTCATCTTTAAAATAAACCCCTCTTGACCTCAAAACACTCTCAGTTAGCACCCCAATACTCCACTTCCCATGATTGTTAAATTTCTTGACTAGAGTTGTCTCAGCTTTATTTTCTTTCCTTTTTTCTCCTCTTGAGTAGGCCACAGCCAGGTTCTGGACCCATAACTTCACACACATACTGCTCTTGACAGTGTCACCAGTGAGTTAAAAATCGCTTAATGACCACATAATCAGTTTTGAGTCCTCTCATCTTAACTGACTGAGCAGCATTTGATAAGTTGTTTACCCCACTCCTTGAGAAACTTTTGTGAATGCGTGTCCAGATCAGCAACATTCTAGAATCTCCATCCTCCTAGCCTCTTCTCTTCAGCCTTCTTCACTGAGCCTGTGGATGCTGCAGGGCTCAGGCTTAATCCTTAGACTTCTCTCCTCTAGTTATGCTCAGTGGTTCCTCATCCAGCCTCGTCGTGCCTTTAAATACGTCTTTATTCTGGCTACTCCTAATATATATATATATCTATCTTTAGCACATATACATATATATATATATATGTATGTATAGCATTCTGGTTTCTTACCTGTTTTTTTTTGTTTGTTTGTTTTTTTGTTTTTGCCTACCTCCTCCCATTAGGCTAAGGCTTCATGGGGGCAGGGATATGTCTGTGTGTATTTGTACCACGCTATCTGCAGTGGCTGGCACAGTGCACTCAGATACGCTGTAACACTGGTGAATTATGAGTGGTGAGTGACTTTTATGAGAGGCTATTAATTTCATAAACATCATAAGTTACTAACTTACAGAAATGCATATACCTTGTAAAAATAAGAAGCACATGATAGGGTGTACAGTAAATAGTAAGTCTCCTATGCTTTACTCTCATCTTGCATTGCTTTATTCTCCCCAAAAGGTGTGTATATATACAAGCATCTCTCTTCCACTTGAACAATAGTATACACACCGTTCTACATATTGCTGTTTACACTTAATATGTTTTTTGAAGATCATTCTTTATTTTTATACATATTATACATTTATATACATATACCTTAGTATATAACATATAATGATCAAGAATGATCTTAAACCTGTGTGTGTAAGGCATAAACAGCGATATATAGCACTATGCGTACACTATTTTTAAATGTGTATGTATATGTTACATATTACGTAATATGTAAATATATATAGAGAGATATAACATTTTTTATATGTATATACACACACACAGCTATATATATTACTTTTTTTTTTTCCTGGCTGATGGTTAATTTTCAACTCAACGTTTTAACTTTTTTATTCCTTTGCAGTGCCCACTGTGT